AAAATGAAAGAAAAGATGTACAATGCTGCAGGTTTTTTTGATGCCAATGTTGGACTGGGGTGGACAAAGACAGAAATCACACACCACCAGGTTATGTCCAACAGGTTTATTTGGAATCACAAGCATTTGGAGAGCTGCTCTTTGTGAGGTGAAGTCACTTCACCTCACAAAGAGCAGCTCTCCAAAAGCTTGTGATTTAAAATAAAACTGTTGGACTATAACCTGATGTCATGTGATTTCTGTCTTTACAATTTTTTTTTAGTTAAGCTGGAAGATTGGAAAATTGGAAAATTTTCGAGACTAGCTAAGAATGGATTTTTAAAAAAATGGAGAATGAAATTCCCAGTTCCCCTACCTTCTGTGATTCAATAAGATTACCTCATTTACAGGCATAATATCCTTGCACATAGAATTGCTAGTTACATTGAGCAATCCATTATTTATATTTTTCAAAATACTTTCATGGGATATGGGCATTGTCGGCAATGTTAGCTTTTGCTGTTCAACACTAATTGCCCAAGCATTGCCACCTTGATCTGCTTCAGCCTATTTGTTTCAGGTACATCCACAGTAATGTTAAGCAGGGAATTCCAGGATTTGATATGGTGATAGTGAAGGAACAGTGGGAAAGGTCTAGGTGAGGATGGTGTATGACCTGGAGGAGAATTTGCAGTTGGTGGTGTTTCCATGAATCTGCTGCCCTATATTTCTAGTTGGTAAAGGTCACAGGTTTGAAAGGTGCTTTTGAAGGAGTCTGGGTGAGTTGTTGCAGTTTACCTTGCGTTGAGTATGCACTGTTGTGACTGTGCTTTGGCAAAAGAAGTGAATGTTTCAAGTTGGTGGATAGGGTGTCAGTCACGTGGGGCTGATTTATCTTGGCTGGTGTCAAGCTACATGCTTGTTTGAGCTGTACTCGTACATAACATTCCAGAAGTACAGTACTGGTCACTTCTTTTTAGATGAAAGGATAAAAGGTGTTGCAAAGTATAACTTTTAGATTCTGGCTGTTTTGCTGGTATTGCACTTCTTTCCATATTTCTGGTATTTCTGCACTTCGTGCAAAGCTCTGAAAAATACAGGCTTGGGTTTCTTTCAAGTACATCTTGCCATGTTCCATCGACATTAAAAGAGGTAGTTAGAATAGAGAATGTCAGTCATTATAGAATCTGCAGCAGTTGCATATTGAGTACTAGGCATGTCAGTCTCTCAATGTTTATCTGCCAATTTAGCATTGAGACAAAATTACAAGCTAGCATTGAGTCCGAGCTGATGCTTGACAATAGCTCCATATAATCTTTTGGAGGCTATCATTACAATAGTCATTGTTTGTTATTTAGAATTCAGATAAAATTGCAATGAGACCTTCAGACAGATGCACTTTGTTGGCTTCATCTCACTTGGGGAGGTATGGCCAGAGTTGGATTCTTGAGTGACTATGGAGCTGATACAATGCAGAAGAAAACAAAAGCCATGATTGCAATTGAATTGAATTAGCTTTACTGTCACATGTACTGTCACAAGCTTTACTGCTTGGAGGAGTACAGTTAAAAGTTTAGTTGCCACATTTCATGCAAATATGTTTGCACTCAGACAGGAAAGGAACCAATTTGAAACCGATAGACTGGTGCGTAATCCTTCATGATCCTATGTATTTATCCTTTACCTCTGCTTTTAATCTACTGTGTGCAAATAAGTTGTATTATTAGATATGATGACAGAGGTTCTGAAAGTTAGGATATGAGAGCAATGACAAGCTTTGGGGAAGCAGAAGTCTGCATTTCATTTGTGCGCCACAGCTAACATTGTCATAATTACGTAATGAAAAAGTGGAACAAAGATTACATTGTCCTCTAAACATGTTATCAATTATCTTTTCAGTATATTTTGAAGCATTATGGTGAAAATCCTGACAACTACAGTGAGGAGCTGAAGAAACTTGATCAGCTCAGACAGGTAAGTACCTAATAACAGATTGCTACTGAAACATTAGACTGCTGCCTTTAACTGGTGGAGCTCTAAGCCCCATGTATGTTTATTCAGGAAATTTTCTGCGTAATGTGTTCCTGCCCATGTGACTGTACCTTTAGTTTTAACCCCACATCATTGCTGGTACAGTAGAACCTCAAATGCCCAAGGTCCCTTGCCAAAACAAAATAGAAATGATGTAGTCATACTTTAACTCTCAAATTTTAACAATGCTAAATTAGATTGCAATAAATTCTGTTTTGTATCTGATGCAGTTTATTGATTCACTTATGCTGTCAGTCTTCTAGTGCAAGGCAATAGCAAATTGACATAGCTGCCTGTAGTAGTTGTGACCCATACTAAAGGAAGTGTTTTTCCAGAATCCTATGAAAGGCCGTTCTGATGGAAGAAGAATCAGTAGCATTGGTAACTCATCTGTTAAAAGTCAGTGAAGTGGATATTGTACCCAGTGGCTGCATATGTACTTGATCAATCAATTTGGAAAGTGAAGCAATGAGAAACAAAGATGAATGACAATGTAGAAATAACTTTTTTTTAGTTAGAGTACTATTGAATGCATTCTGTAATATAAATGAATTGTGTCTCAGATCAGCAAGATTCATCATTGGAGTCCTACTCCTCGATGTTGGCATGTTCTTTGAATGAATTTTAACATGAGTTCAAGTTTTTTGTTTTTGAACTTGCGTGACGCAATTCACTTGGAAGCACTTGAGAAAATTAGTGGCTGATCTGGAAAATAAAACATTCTAGTACAGATCGAGGCTTTTGGCATTTTTAATTGTACTCAATTTAGAATTGCTGTAGTCTGATTTTCATACTTTTGTTTTTGCATATCTTGTACAATTATTTTTTCTTCTTGCTTTCATTTTTACTTTTAATTCTATCCAGTGCTATTTTGAATGCTGCAGTCAATTTAGCCACTTCGTGGCATTTTCTTGGCATTCCAAAAATTGCATTAAAAACGTTGTTTTTCATCTCTTTTTATGTGTCTTGCGCTTACCTTGGGGTCAGAACCTTGCCTATTCATTTACCTATGAAATGAATAATGTATCTGAGCTTATCCTATGCCAGAGCTGGGTTTCAACTGTTGGGCAGAATGACCCTGAAATTTCTTGTTTACACTTTTTTCAGCAACTAAGATGAATCTGATAATTCGGTCATTACTTCCAATCCAACAGTCATCTGTTTCCGAGATTTTCTTTTGTTTACATAATGTTTCTTTTCTAGAATGCTATGACAGTAAATGCCAACCAGGAGTTACCATATAAAAGTTGAATTTCTAAGACTAAATCTTTAATTAAAAATTGGTGTTGATTTTTTTTTTATTGAAGTGATATTTTGGAGAGGTTGAAATTCACCCTCTCTCATTGCCTTATAATTAGTGTTGCCAGTTGTAAGAGTTCCTGCCATTGCTGCCCCCAAAAGTACCCATGAAAGGAGCTACTGTATATTTATTATTACATTTTTACTTATACATAATAACCTCCATGGAGGCAAACATTAATTTTTGTACACTGAATCCATCAATACCATCGTCAACAACATAAATTGTATATTTACAATTTCACTCTTTCATATTGAATAAAGTAATACTATTTAGCAGCAAGTAATTACTGAATATGACATGAAATCCATAAAAATTGCCCTCGTCCTCAACTAAATAATGTGTCCTAATCTTCTTGTTCTTTGTGTAGATCATCGACATCATCTTCATTAGTAATCATGTCCTCTTTCAGACATATCATTCCACAAGGTGCAGTGGAATCCCAGATTTGGTGACAATCTCTGTTCTAATTTTGTCCCAGGCCTCGGCAGTCCATTAACACAGGATTACTGATATCAGAGCATGTTTGATGCCTCCTTTTGTGAATGACTTCTTTCTTCCCGCCATTCAGTTATTCCACTTTTTCCTCAAGTTGTCCTTGAAAGACTTTTTCAGAGAGCATTTAATTGTTGAAGTCTGGTTGGACCACTGGGAATCACTGTGAAATCAGTTTTGCAGTCTAACTTTAACAATAACTATATCGATGATCTGTGACCTGAAAATGTCTCCGATAAGATGATTTTTTTTTTTCATAATCCCCTGGTCAAAAACTCTAAACTTCCCTCGGCCATTTTTCAAACCACCTTCATTCATCCATTTATCTTTTATTGTGAATGTGGATGACTGCTTCTTTTGGGAATTGCTGTCTTATGAGGCTTTTTGTCTTGAAGATCACCATTCGGTTAATCTTTGTCCAGTCAGAAATATGTGACAGTACAACCATGAATCCGTACTTTTTGTAGCCACTTGTCTTCCCTAGCACAGTTTTCTTTGCAGTTTTCCTTCTCTTTCGACTGGCTGGCATCAGTCTTACTTCTAAAAGAACACTAATAGCAGTACAAAATTACAAAGTAATCAAGGGCAAATGGGGGAAGACGAAATAAATGGACTAGCTATCACTAGAGAGAAAATGCTAGGTAAGCTAATGGGAACACCAATAAGGCCCCTGCTGGGATGCATTCTAGGATATTAAAGGAAGTAGCTAAAGAGAATAGATGCACTGGTAGTAATCTTCGAAAAATCATTATATTCCAGAAAAGTGCCAGAATTGGCAAACTGACTATGTAACCCCTTTATTTATAAAGAAAAGGAGATAATAACAGGTAACTGTAGGCCAGTTGGCTTAACATCTGTTATTGGGAAAATGTTAGAGTCTGTTCTGAAGCATGTAGTATCAGAGCATTTAGAAATACATAATATGATCAAGCAGTGTCCGCACAGCTTCATGATGGGCAAATCATTTCTGACAAATTTATTAAAATTCTTTGAAGCAACAGACAGGACAGATAAAGGAGAAGCAGTGGATATAATATGTGGATTTCCAGAAGGTGTTTGATAAGGTATCAACGTATTATGCTTCTTAATACGATAAAAATGCATGTTTTTGGAGGTAGTATATTAGTATGGATTGACAGTTGGCTGACTAATAGAAGACAGAGTTGGCATAAGGGGGTCATCGTTAATATTGGAGTGCCACAGGGATCATTTCTGGGGCTACAGTTATTTACAGTATATATTAATGACTTATTTGAGAAACACGAACGTACTACAACCAGGTTTACAGACAGGGAAATAGATAAATGAATGGGCAAAAACTTGGCATGTAATGTAGGAAAATGTAAGGTTATACAATTTGGCAGAAAGAATAGAGGGGTTGAATATTATTTACGTGCAAGAAGACTGCAGAAAGCTATAGCACAGAAGAGTCCTTGTGCATAAATCACAAAAAGATAACATACAAGTTTAATAGGGATGGAAAATAGAATGATGTCTTTATTTCAAATGGAATGGAGTAGTTAAATAGGGAAGTCTTGCTAAAATTATAGAAGCTACTAGAGAGACCACAGGTGGAGCAGTGAACAGTAATGCTAAATCTTATTTAAAGAAAGATGTACTGGCCCTGGAGGCAGTTTAGTGAACATTCACTATGCTGATCCTGAGTATGGAGGGACTGTCAGATAAGGAAGTTGAGGTGCTTGGGCCTATACTCATTGGAGTTTAGTAGAATGAAATTTGAAAGTGACGGGCCCCGCCATGCACTTAGATCCTGTGTGGATCAGCTGGTGGAGGAATTCGCTGACATCTTCAATCTCTCCCTCCTACAAGCCAAAATCCCCACCTGCTTCAAGAAGACGACCATCATCCCAGTACCAAAGAAAGTACATGCAACATGCCTTAATGACTACCGCCTAGCGGCTCTGACCTCCATAATCATGAAGTGCTTTGAGAGATTAATCAGAGCCTTCATCAGCTCTAGCCTTGCCGTGGTCCCCTGTAATTTGACTACTGACAAAACAGGTCCACAGTGGACACCATTACCCTAGCCCTACACTCATCCCTGGAACATCTGGATAACAAGGACACCTACTTCATATTCCTACCCATCGACTTCAACACCATAATCCTCTCTAGACTAATCTCAGAACTCTAAGACTTTGTGTCTCGGCTCTACCCTCTGCAACTGGATCCTCAGCTTCCTGACCTACAGACTGCACTCAGTGAAGATAGACAATTGCACCTCCTCCACAATGACCCTCAACACTGGAGCCCCCCAAGGATGCATTGGCAGCTCCCTACTATACTCTATACACCCACAACCGTATAGCCAAATTCCAAATGAACACAATCTACATGGTAGGATGGATATCAAGCAACAATGAGTCAGAGTACAGAAAGGAAATAGAGGGCTTGGTGTCGTGGTGTAATGACAACAACCTCTCTCAATATCAGAAAAACAAAAGAACTGATCATTGACTTCAGGTAGAAAGGAGGAGGATTGACAATAACTGACAATCTGTCCTGGATCTTCCACACAGATGCAGTGGTCAAGAAGGCACAACAATGCCTCTTTTCCTCAGGCGGCTTAGGAAATTCAGCATGTCCATAAGGACCCTCACCAACTTAAACGTACCACATAACAGCCTGGTATGGCAACTGTTGTGCCCAGGACTGTTGAGAAACTACAGAAGGTTGCGTGCACAGGCCAGGCCATCATAGACTCCAACCTCCCATCCATGGACTCCATTTATACTTGCTACGGAAAGGGTGCCAACATCATCACAGACTCTTCCCACCCCAGTAATGCTCTCTTGTAACCTCTTCTGTCAGGCAGAAGATGTAGAAGGTTGAACATGCACCAACAGGTTCAAGAACAGCTTCTTCCCAAATGTTATTAGACTGATGAATGGAATCTCTAACTTGAAATAATGTTGATCTTGCTTTGCACATCTCCTGTGCAGTTGTAACCTGTATGCCTTACTCTGTCAAAGCATCCTATGATCTGTATGTCCGTGTTTGCAATGATCTGCCTGTACTTTTCACAAAACAAGGCTTTTCACGGTACTTAGGTACATGTGACTACAATAAATCAAACCAAATGACAGTTCACAGGACAGTAACTGAGAAGAAGCAGTTAAGATAACACTATAAGTTTGATACAGAAAGAAACGTTCTGTGGATTTTGATTAACTGAAAGACTTCAAAACATATGCAAAACACTACCCATCTACACCCCAGCAACATCATTTTACAAACTACTACTGTATTTATCTTGTTTTTATTAAATTTCTGTAATAAACTGCTGTTTTATTTTTCAAACTAAATCTGCAGCTTTCTCTGCTTGTGCTTCAATGAAAGACAACATATTAAAAGAAAAATCAAAGTTTGATGAATCAAAAAAGATGTTGTTCTGCGATCTGACTTGTCTAGTAGTAACTGGAACCATTGTGATAGCACTAAAAGGAAGAGGTGATGGTGTAAAGCAAGATGTGTCATGTAAGTGACAATCTTTTAAAAAGAAAGGAAGTGAAACTGCAGCCAGGCATTCTTTTGGCTTGATCTTAATTCACTGGAAATGCTAACTTAAAGGTTAAAATTAGACCTTTGGTTTTCTGTTGATCTTCATAATGAAAGCTAATTTGTAATTTTAACATTTCTTATCAGATCTAACGTTTTTGGTGCTGTTTGATTTAAAGGAAGAGCAAATGGTGTAGGAAAACAAAAAACAAACAGTTTTAGATTGGTTATAGTTGTCAGGTGGTAATCAAAAAATTTTGTCCTGTTGCAGTGTGCCGTGAATGTTACAAGAGACTTTGAAGGATGTAGTACGTTAAGAAAATATTTTGGCCAGCTTCACTATCTGCAGAGTCGCATTCCTATGGGATTAGGAGAAGAGGCAGCTGTCCCAGTCACGTGGTAAGAATAGCATTTTCCTCCCAGTATTTTTTTTATTTTCTGTTGCTACTTTCTTTTATCCTGAAGGCCTTGATCTCAGGTACGATACAGTTGACCAGTAATACTTTTACTTAAGAGGTAGCAAAAGATCTTTGGATTGTGTCATAGTCATACATTACGGAAACAGATTCTTCAGTCCAACTTGTTCATACCAATCAGGTTTGCCAAACTAAACTAGTACCATTTACCTGCATTTGGCTCATATCCCTTTAAACCTTTCCTATTCATGTACCTGTCCAAATATCTTTTAAAGGTTGTAACTTTAACTGCCTCTAACACTTCCTCTGGCAGTTCATTCCACTGGAGTGAAACTAACCTACAGAATCAGCAGGAAATTATTCATTCTCCGCTGCCTCCAAACCAGAGCTGTGAAGACAGGAAGGACTGCAGATGCTGGAAGCCAGAGTCAATAGGTGTGAAACCTGAAAAGCACAGCAGATCAGACAGCATCCGAGGAGCAGGAAAGTCAACGTTTCAGGCTGAAACCCTTTGTCAGGTTTGGGGTGGGGGTGGGCACAGGGGAAGGGTAGGTGGGATGGTGATAGGTGTATGCAGGTAGGAGATTATTGTGATTTGTCAGTGGGAAGGGTGCAGGGAATAGGTGGTTAGGTTAGATGACGGAGTTGAGGAGGAAGGGGAAAGCTGGGCATGGATAAGGCTGGGGGTGGGAGGGATTTTGAATTTGGGGAAATCAGTATTGAGACCATTGGGCTGAAAGCTCCCAAGGCAAAATATGAGGTGTTGTATCTCCAGTTTACGTTTGGCCTCACACTGACAGTGGAGGAGGCCAAGGATGGACATGTCACCAAATGAGTGGGATGGGGAATTAAAATGGATGGTAGCCAGAAGGTCGGGTTGGTCGGTGCATATGGAGTGCAGATGCTGTGCAAACCATCCCTGACCCTGTGTTAGGGGAGACCACATCGGGAGCAATGGATCCAATAGATTCGGTTGGATGAAGTGCAGGTGAATCTCTGCTGGATCTGGAACGATTGTTTGGAGCTTTGGACTGAAGTGAGAGAGGAAGTGTAGGGGCAGGTGTTGCACTTCTTGCTGTTGCAGGGAAAGGTACCGGGTGGGGTGGAGATGTTGGTGGGGAGTGTAGAGATGATGAGGGATTCATGGAATGAATGGTTCCTGCAGAAAGTGGACAGGGGTGGGGAGGGAAATATCTTTTTTTTTTGGGGTTGGGTCTGATTGTGGGTGGTGGAAATGTCAGAGGATGATGCGATGGATTTGGTGGTGGTGGGATGGTACGTGAGGACTAAGGGGATTCTATCCTTATTGTTGCTGGGGGGAGGGGTTTTGAGGGCAGAAATGTGGAAAACGGAGGAGATGCCGTTGATGGCATCCTTAATTAAAGAGGAGGAAAGATACCAGTCCCTAAAGTAGGAGGACATCTGGGATGTTCTGGAGTAAAATGCCTCATCCTGGGAGCAGACCCGATGGAGGCGGAGGAAATGAGAGTGTGGGATAGCATTTTTACAGGAGGGTAGGTGAGAGGAAGTATAGTCGAGCTAGTTGTGGGAGGCAGTGGTTTCAAATGTCAGTGATGAGTCAGTTTACCGAGATGGAGACGGAGAGGTCCAGGAAGTGGAGGGAGGTATCAGAAATGGTCCAGGTGAATTTGAGGGCAGGGTGGAAGGTGTTGGCAAAGTTGATAAACTGCTCGAGCTTCTTTGGGTGCATGAGGTAGCACTGATGTAGTCATCAATACAGTGGAGAAATAGGTGAGGGATGATGCCGGTGTGGTTGTAGAAGAGGGACTGTTCTACGAATCCTACAAAGGCGTAGGCATAGCTTGGGCCCATTAGAGTGCCCATGATCCCCCCTTTGGTTTGTAGGAAATGGAAGGAATCAAAGGAAAATTTGTTGAGGGTGAGGACCAGTTCTGCCAAGCGAATGAGAGTGTCAGTGGAGGGGGGACTGGTTGGACCTACAGAAAAGAAGAAGCGGAGGGCTTTTAGGCTATCCATATGAGGGATACAGGTGTAAAGGGACTGTACATTCATGGTGAAGATGAGGTGTTTGGGGGCCAAGGAATTGAAAATTTTGGAAAAAGTGGAGCACGTTGGTTATGTCACGATACATAGAGCTGTGGTGGTTCCCGCCCTCCTGAGACGTGGGCCTTAAGGCACTGGAGCAGGACTGCCAACGCTGCCTCCGCAAAATCCTGCATATCTACTGGGAAATCGGACGCCCTGACACCAGCGACCTCGACCAAGCGGACATTGCCAGCATTGAAGCACTGACCACTCTTGGTCAGGTGCAATGGGCCAGGCACATCATCCACGTGATTGACAGGAGACCTCCCAAGCAAGCGCTCTACTCCTGGCTACAAAGCAGCAGGTGAGCCTCAGGTGGACAGAGGAAATGTTTCAGGGATACCCTCAAGGCCTTACCAGCAAAGTGCGGCATTCCCACTGACACCTGGGAATCACTGGCCTAAGACTATCCCAAGTGGAAGAGGAGCATCTGGGAAGGCGTTGAGCACCTTGAGTCTTGCAGTCTGAAAAAGCGGAAGCCAGGTGAAAACAACATAAGGAATGTACTGTTGCACCAACAGCCCACCCACCTCTTCCTATCACTACATTATGTCCCAAGTGTGGCACAGCCTGTGAAAGCCACATCTGACTCTACAGCCACGTACGGACCCACTCTGAGAGTGGAAGAGAGCCATCCTTGTCTGTGAGGGACTGCTGACGACGATGATGATGATTGATTCCATGTACGCAGTGTTGTCTGTGTGAAAAAGTTGCCCCTCAGGTCCCTCTTAAATCTTTCCCCGCTCACCTTAAACATATGTTCGCTGAATTCCTCTGCCCTATGGAAAGTACCTTTGCTATTCACCTTTATCTATGCATCTCATGATTTTATAAACCTCTAAAAGGCCACCCCTCAGCCTCCTACACTCCATGGAAAAAATCACAACCTATCCAGCCTCTCCTTATGACTCAAACCCTCCAGTCCTGGTAACATCCTTGTAAATCTTTTCTGCACCCTTTCCAGTTTAATATGACGATGTCCAGCCTTAAATTCAGTTGCACTTTTAAGTAAAGGTGACTGGATAGGTTTTGGAAGTGATAATCTGGCTCACTTCTTAAATGCTGTAGCTAATTTTGGCATCTCTTCTGCCCTGCTCTTAGATTTGCTGTCAGCACATTTTTTTGCGTATATGTTAGTTGTGGAGATTCTAGCAAGGCCAGCGCTGATGTCCTAAACAAAAACTGAAAGAACTGTGGAAGCTGTAAATCGGGAACAAAACAAAGCAGTTCTGCAGAAGGGTCACTGGACCAGAAACGTTAACTCTGATTTTTCTTCACAGATGCTGCCAGACCTGCTGAGCTTTTCCAGTAACTTCTGTTTTTGTTCAGCACTTATGTCCTATTGTTAATTGCCCCAAAGAAGATGGTAATGAGCTGTCTTCTTGAACTATTGTTGTATATTTATAGATGCATATGCAGTACTGATTAGGTTTGAGTTCCAGGTTTTATTTTTATCTGGCAGCAGTGAAGGCATATTGATGGAGTTCCCAAATCAAGAGGCTGTGTGTTTGGAAAGAGAATTTGTAAGAGTTTGGTATTCCATGAATGTCTGCTTATCCTTCAAGTTAGTAGAGATCATTGTTTTTGAGGGTGCTGTCAACAGAGACTTGTTGACTTGCTGCAGTCCAGCTTGTAAGTGATGCTCACTTCAGTTGTTGTGAGCTAGTGGTTGAGGGAGTGAATGGGATGCTGATATATAGCCTGGTTTGTCCTAAATGGTGTTGAGCTTCTTGTGATGTTAAAGCAAGGCAACCCCGGCAAATGTAGATTATTTTATCATGTTCATAATTTGCACCTTATAGATGATGAACAGGCTTTATGCTGTTAGGGGAGGAATTACTAGCAGCAGAATTCTCGACTTCTGGACAGTCTTTTAGCCCAAATATTAATACAGCTGGTCCAATTAGGTCTGTGGATAGTGGTAGTCCATAGGATGCTAATGGTGAAAGATTCAGCAATGATAATGCTATGGAGCTCAGACTGAGATGGTTATATTCTTTCTTGTTCAGGCTGTCATTGCTAGTTCTTAAGTCACTTACCACTTATCAATTCAAACTTATTTCTTGCTACTACCTGGGGAATCACAAATGGCACTGAACTCTATGTGCAATCATCAGTGAACATTCCCACTTCTGCCCTGTATGCTGGAAAGGTAATTAAAGTATTGGGTTTAGGACCAGCTATATACTGGAGCTGAAATGATTAGCCTTCAATAACCACAACTTTAGTCCTTTGTTAGAAATTATTCCAACCACTGGAGAATTTCCCCTCCTAGTTCCCATTGTCTTCAATTTAGCCAGGGCTTCTTGATGCTACACTCAGTAGAATGCTACCTTGATATCAAGAGCAGACTGTCTAAGTTGAATCTTGCAGTCTGTATTAAATCCACACTTGCGTTAGGGAAGGAGTTCCAGGATTTTTACTCAATAGTGAAGGAATGGTGATATATTTCTCTGTAAGCACGTTGTGCGACTTGGAGGGAAGGGTGCAGGCGGTAGTCTTCCCAGGTACTTGCTGCTCATGTTCTTGTGAATGATGAGCTCACTGCTTTGGAAAATGCTGCTTTGTTGAATTACTGCGGTGCATCTCGTAAATGGTGCACACTGCTTTCATAGGGTTATGATGTATGAAGCTAATGTTTAAGATGGTGAGTGAGATTCCAGTCACGTGAAAGATTCGGTCCTCAAACTGCTTGACTGGTTTGGAGTTCAGTCATTCAGAAAAGTGGAGAATATTCCATCATACTTCTGACATATGCCTATTAGCTGCTAGATAACTCTTGGAAAGTTGGGAGTTGAAATACTTAGAGTTTCCAACCTCTGGTCTGCTCTTGTAAGCTGTTATATTTATATGGTCGGCCAATGTGAGTTTCTGATCAGTGGTAACCTCAAGATGCTAGGGAATTTGAAATGGTAATCTGTTGAATGTTAAGGGTAGATAGATTTCTTATTATTTTGAAGGTGGCCATTCCTTGACCCTTACCCCAAGTCTGACTGTTGTCCAGACTTCGTTACTTTTGGGCATGAATGGCTTCATTGTCTGAGGAGTTACAAATGCAGCTGAATACTGAGATTGTGAGCCACCATCCATATTTCTGAACTTAGAATGTAGGGAAGATCATTGATCCAACTGAAGGCAGTTGAGCCTATAACACTGAGCCAGGAGGCCCACGTTTGAGTCCCAGCTGCTCCAGAGTTGTGTGATATCATCTCTCAACAGGTTGATTAGAAATATCTACATTGAGAAATTTGGCTGTTGTGGTGCAGTGGTAGTGTCCCTACCTTTGAGCTAAGAGGCCTGGGTTTAAGCCCAACCTGCTCCGGAGATATGTAATAACATGTCTGGACAGTTTGACAAAAACAACTACATCTGAGGAAATTCTGCAGTGATGTCTTGGGGTAAATGGGTTAGGTCTCCAAAATCCAAATCGATTTTCTTCTTCTTTGCTACATATGACTCTAACCAGTGGTTAGTTCACTACTTACTCCCATCAATACCATTTTCACTAGCACTCCTTGCTACCATACTTGGTCAAATGCTGCCTTGATGTCAGGAGCCGTCTGACTTATTGCACCTCTAGAATTCTTCTCCTTTGTCCGTTTCTGAATTACGTAGTCCTCGAAGAATGTGAGCTAAGCATTGATGAACTGGTTATTGATGAATTAGTGCTGCTTGCTGGTTTCATCAGCAACACCTTTGCGGATCATTGAGAGAGAAGATTGATTATTGGCCTGATTGGATTTTTTTGCTTTATGGACAGGCTCTGTTTGTGTAATTTTCCATTTCATCTAGTAGATACCAGTGTTGTCGTTGTTATTGGAACAGCTTGGTAAAAGACGCAGATAATTGTGAGCATATCTTTAATTCTACAGTTGGGATATTGTCAATGCTTGTAGCCTTTGTTTATCCATGTGCTAAGGACCCTAGTCCGTCCTTCATATCACACACAATGAATTGAATTGGCTGAAAGCTGTGAATATCACTGGGAGGCTGAGGTAGGTTTTCCATGGACCACTTCTGGTTGCAGATATTTGAAAAAAATACTCCAGCCTCATCTTTAGCGCTGAAGTGCAAAACCCCACCAACATTATGAATAAAGTATTCTTGGATATCCTCCTCCTGTTATTTGACCTGCTCACACCCTTCATGATTCGATCTGGAAAGACACAATAGAATTTTGATCTGAACTATTGTTTGTGAGGTTGCTTAGCCCCATTTATAACCTTCAGAAAAGGAGTCCTCCTTGATTAATTTTAACTGATGTACATTTGACACAGTATTGCTCTTTTGGGGATCTGTTAAAATAGCACAAAAATGAATCCAATTTAGAATCTAGATGATCAATGTGGCTTAGTAAAATTATTGTGGGAGTTGCTGTATTTTTCTAATTAAGTTTAAAACTCTTAAACGATGTCTGCTGTAGCAGTAAAGGAATTTTCAGAGCAAGGGTTCATTCATCCTCCTTATGGGAGCAGGAACCCATGTGATAAGGTGTTTTCACATGGGTCTTGCCGGCTGGCCAAGTTATAGGCCTTCAATTTGAGCACATAATGTATGTCGGGAATTTTTTTGCTGCTTTTGAATGTTTACTGGGAGATTTTGACCGCTATGTTTTGGTTTACAGGGCTCCTTTTTCATTCTCACTAACTTCGGTTAGGTGATGCTGTTACTTAATAACAAAACCTTTTATATTTAACAACAGATGTTCTCTTCTTAAAAAAAACTGACACTTCTAGACACAAACCACTGTCACTCTAAATGAACTTTCACAGCCAAATAGTTGCATGTTTGTGCCTAATGGTCATTGCACCTCCAGGGAATTCATAGTGAGAGAGAGAGTTTGAGATGTGATAAAACACAAGTCAAAATCTTTAGAAATAAAGCTGCTCAATATTAAATTTATATAATTGACAGTTTCATTAATTTAACATCCACAACAATTTCCCCCACTTAATAACCCAAACCACTGCAGCTTTAAGCTGGAGACTCTCCATTGGCAAGGAATTCATTATCTTAGTTTTCCTACTCCCAGTTATGACACTTCTCTTGTTGAAAGGCTTAAAATTCACTCCTTACGCCATTACAGCACAATGTTCCACCCACCTGAGAAAAAAGGCTTACTACAAGCCTACAGGATATCAGCAGCAAAGCTGGGCAAGAACCAGTCTGTGATTGAAGGTGCAGCTCCTCACCAATCCTGCCCATTCTTAAGGGATGGCTTTCTCCTTACTGAACTTTCTTTGTTGTGGAAGTGAATTTATCTGAAGCCTTCTTGTTGATTTGTGTATTGCAGTCCATTTGTGCATAACTATTCACGTTTGTTCAGTTCATGCAGAGCTTCAGAACAATGTGCAATTTTAGTCCAGTGGAATTCAAAGGATGTATATACTGACAAACTGATGTGTTTGCTGAAATTACAGGACAGAAATCTTTTCTGGCAAGACAGTAACTGTTGATGAGATCTGCTATGAACAGGCTTGCATTTTATATAATCTGGGTAAGTAGTGTTTTCTGGTTCATTTATAGATATGAACTTGGCTGGCTGGGCCAGTATTTATTATCCATCCATCATTCCCTTTGAGAAGGTAGTGGTGAGTTGTCTTCTTGAACTTCTTGAATTGCTATGGGTATATGCACAATGCTGTCAGGAGGGAGTTCCAGGACTTTGACCCACCGACAGTGAAGGAATGGTAATGTATTTCCATCAGTGATGAGTTGCTTAGAGGAGAACTTGAAGATGTTAATGTTCCCTCATATCTGCTCCTTTTGTCCTTCTAGATGGTAGTGGTTATGGATTTGGGAGAGTGCCAGATAAGGAGCCTTGATGAATTTCTGCCATGTATCTTGTAGATAGTACACCCTGCTACTACTGAACATCAGTTGTGGAGGGAGTGAATGTTTGTGGATGCGGTGCTGCTTTGTTCTGTGTTATGTCAAGCTTCTTGAGTGTATTTGGAGCTGAACTCACAGGAAAGTGAGGAATATTCCATCACACTCCTAATTTGTCTTGTTGATGGTGGACAGGCTTTGGGGAATCAAGGGGTAACTTATTCACTACTGGATTCCCAGCTCTTGTACCCACAGAATTTGTGATGAGTCCATTTCAGTTTCAGGTCAGTAGTAATCCCCAGGATGTTGACATTTATTTATAGTTTTGCACAGAGATGTGCAACTTTCTGGTGTACCCTTAAAACTAACCTTTTAATATATTAGAACTTGGGCAGTAACTTTTGCTATTTTCTTCTTGGATCTGAAAAAAAAAAGGTTCGAAATAGCACACTCAACAGTGTTTTTCTTGTCTCTATTTTCACTTGAATAAAGGTGTTATTTTAAAATTTGTGCAACTTTTTAAAAATCCCAGAATATTGACATCACCTGCCAACCTTGGGTTTCTTGCCCCTGCTTTGTTTCCGTTGAGAAGGTGATATAGTCTGATAATACTGTGGCATACCACATTAAAGGGCAGTTTTAAGAGTGAACCCAGTGAGTTGCCTATCAGGTAGACAAAAAGAAGCAATTTGGGTTTTTTGACAATCCAAAAGCTCTGTAATCTCTTTCTTGTTATACCTTTTTTTAAAAAGCAATCTTGACTCTTTTGAAACCGATTTTTGGGTTTTCAAAGTGCCATTGGAAATTTGAAGTCCTGTTTGTTGAATTACTGACCCAAACCTATTCTAGTAATTTAAGCAAAATGCTGCAAGAGCTGAATAGTAATGTGAGCTGTGGGTTGGTAATCTAGTATGTAAAATAGGAGGTTACTGTATCTATTCTTAATGTTTGAGGAACGATGGGAGGGGACTCAAGCAGATGCATAAACACCTGCACAGACTGGTTAGACTATAAGATAAAGGAGCAGATTTAGGGTTAAGCCCATTGAGTCTGTTCTGCCATCCCGTCATGGCTGATTTGTTTCTGAATCCTTTTCTCCTGCCTTCTCCCCATAACCTTTGATCCCCTTGCTACTCAATAGCCTATCTATCTCTGCTGCCTTAAATACACTCAGTGACTTGGCCGTCACAATGAGTTCCATTGATTCACCACCTTCCGGCTGAAGAAATTTCCTTATCTCAGTTCGAAAGGGTCGTTCCTTCATTTTGAAGCTGTGCCCTCAGAAACATCTCCATGTCCACTCTATCCAGGCCTTCTAGGATTCTGTAAGTTTCAATGCAATCCCACCCCCCCGACCATCCTTCTAAACTCCATTGAGAATAGACCCGAAATTCTCAACTGCTTATATGACAGGCCCTTCATTCCTGGGATCGTTCTTGCAGACTTCCTCTGGACCAGCTTCAAGGCCAGCACATCCGTCCTTGGGTACGGGGCTCAAAACAGCTCACAGTATTCCAAATTCAGTCTGACCAGAGCCTTATACAGCCTCAGCATTACAGTCCTGCTTCTAGCCCCATCGAAACGAATGCTAACATTGCATAAGCCTTCCTAACGGTCCCTTTGTGCTTCAGATTTCTGAAGCCTTTCACTATTTGGAAAATAATCTGCCTTTGTCCATCCTACGAAAATGCTTGATCTCACTTGCCCACACTATTCCATCTGCTGCTTCTTTGCCCTAGCCTGTGTAAATCCTTCTGCAGCCTCCCTGCTTCCTCAACACTACTGGTCTCTCCCTGTATCTTTGTGTTATCTGCAAACTTAACAACAATGCCCTCAGTTCCTTCATCCAGATCATTAATGTATGATGTGAATATCTATATGGTCCCACTGCTAGAGAATTTGACTACTTCCTGGATTCTATCCTGAAAAAGGCACTTTATCCCCACTCTCTCCCTTCTGCCAGTCAGCAGAATTCACTCTATCCATACCAGTATCTTGCCCCTAACACCATGGGATCTTATCTTATTTAGCAATCTCCTGTGTGGCACCTTGTCACAGGCCTTCTGGAACTGCAAATATATCATGTCCACTGGCTCTCCTTTATGTAACTTGCTTTTTGTTTTCCTCAAAGAATTTTTAACAGATTTGTCAGGTATATGATGTCCCCTTGACAAAGCTGTGCTGACTATGCCCTATTTCACCACGCACTTTCGAATGCTCCGTAATCTCATCTTTAATAATGGGCTCTAAAATCTTATCAATGATCGAGGTCAAGCCAACCAGCCTATAGATTCCCACTTTCTGCCTCTCTCCCTTAAACAGGAATGTTACATTAACATCAGCACTGATTGCGTTGAATGGCCTGTTTTTGCACCGTATATCCTATCTACTTTATCTTTGATCCTGATGAACATGACTAATGCTGATTTATCTTTAAGAAAAATTAAAAAGGTGGTGGCATAGTGGTAATATTGCTGGACTAGTCATCTAGAGCCCTGGGCTGATGCTCTAGTGCAGGGTCTCCAACTTTTTTAAGCACAAGATCACTTAATGTCAAGTTTCTTGAGTGTTGTTGGAGCGGTAGCCATCCAGGGAAATAGGAAGTATTCCGTCACACTCCTGGCTTGTACCTTGTCGTTAATGGATAAGCTTTAGGCAGTCAGGAGGTGAGTTGCTTCCCACAGCATTCCCAGCCTCTTGCTCTTGTCACTACTGTGTTTATGTGGTGAGTCCAGTTGAGTTTTTGGTCATTAGTGACCTACAGGATGATGGTAGTGGGGTTTTCAGTGATGGTGATACCATTGACTGTCAAGGGGTGGTGGTTAGACGGTCCCTTATTGGAGATGGTCATTGCCCGACAAATGTTCCTTGCAACTTATCACAAAAATAATCAGCTGGACGATGTCGTCGTGTAGATCGATGAATCCATCAACAGTGAGAAGCTCAGCTCCTTAGGTCCTGCTGTAGCTGCTGAGAGATGCATTTGGTCCAAAGATTCCATTAGTCTTGTTACTGTGGAAAGTACCAAGTGACATCTCCTGGATTGTTGTTACTGTTTCTTCTTTGTTTATTCAAAGACTTTAAGAATAGTCAGTGACCACCGTCATTGTGCCTTCAGTTATTTATCCATCTGTGTATGATTTCTTGTGTTTTGCCAGAAGATGGCAAGCAAAAAAAAAAATAGGTCTTATCTTTTGCTGCTGGTTTAGAAGCAATTTACTGTTGAGCTTTCAAAACAGCCTTCAGCTCGTCAACTTTCTTTGTTCAAAGCATGTTGAAATCACCATGCGTCATTGAGTGGTGTTGTACCAAGCTGCCTTTTTGACTTGTCAACATACTTTTATGACATACGAGGTATTCTCCTATTCCACGTGGAAGTTGTGCATTTTTGTTTTCTTGTCCGATGTTCCAGATTCATCACTCACTATAACTGCTTTGTAGTTTGTGATGTCACACTGCTGCTGGCCACGCTGCAGGTAGGCCTGTGGATCTGTGCCTGTGGAACATCCAGAATGTTGCTGGTCCCCTAACAGTGTGGAAACATGAGAAGATCGCATTTGTTTCCAGGGCCCATGGTCAGCTTGCGTTACAAGGAATATTGGGTGTGAGGTGCAACAGGGTCTATTAGGTAAGCAGCTGAAGGAAAATAAAAACTTAAAGTCTGCACACAGCAGACAAGAATAGGATTAGCTGAGCTGTTCTTGTAGAGAGTCCACATGGGTTGGTTAGCCTCCTATGTTTCTAGTATTATAATATACTGGCTTCACACATCTGTTCTTATTACATACCTTATTTGGTTGTTTGCATTATCCTTACCCTGCCATGATAGTCCTGGACCAAACTGAAATATGATGCTACAAGCTAATAAAACCTGTTAGCAGTATGCACTTTTCTATAGCCATGCAGCTTCCAGAAGCAAAAGTCATATGACAGCATGCATGTGGTGAGTCAATGTGGTGACATCAACTGTCAGAAATGCACACTGAGGAAACATGGCCTGGGCTAAAAATCCACTGTTGGAGACTCTGCGATTGACTACTCAATCATAATCTACATATTGGAGACCATGGCTGTAGGAACTCTTTTAAATCCATAGCTGATGGCATTTAAATTTGGTAAATAAACCTAGAATATAAAGCTAGGCTCAGTAACAAGCATAACAACTATCATTGATTGTTACCAAAACATATCTGGTTCATTAATGTCCTTTAGGGAAGAATATCCTGATCTACTCTAGTGACATGTGACTTCAGACCACAGCAATGTAGTTGACTATTAACTGGGCTGTGAAATGGCTTAGCATGAAACTCATACAAAAGCAAATTAGTAATAGCAGTAAAGGGTAATCTTGCCAAGAATATGCATATACCATGAAAGAATTAAAAAAATTAAGCCTCCATAAAGCAAGTAACTTGGATGAGTCTTCGTATTCAAACCTGTTATTTTGGGGAAACGTTAATTGTATTTTGTCATTGAGCCTGATGTAGCCCTTTACAAATTCTAACATGAGCCATTCAATGATTTCTTAATGGGATTGCTTCTTAATGCTGAATTCGGATAGTTTTATACTTTTGTCGCAGATAAGCTCTAGCACTGGATTGAGGTCAACTAGATTCATTTCTTGTTGGACCGGCAGTGCCAGTTCTTTGCATAATAGAATGTTGAACTTGTGATATTTTGTTTCTCTCCCAGGAGCCCTTCACTCAATGCTTGGAGCTGTGGATAACAGAGTGACTGAGGAGGTGGGTAATAAATATAATCAAGTAACTGCAAAGTGAGCAATGCTTATTGATTTTGTCTTTTAATTATGCCTTGTTTGTAGACATACCCAGTAATTGAATTTCCATTACCTCTTTCTAGGGTATGAAAGTTTCCTGTACACACTTCCAATGTTCAGCAGGAGCTTTTTCTTACTTACGGGATCATTTCAGTCACTCTTACAGTGTAGACATGAGTCACCAAATCCTCAACCTTAACATCAACCTCATGCTGGTAAGGACAAGACTCGAGATTAGATCAGAAGATTTACAGACAAGTATTCTGCTGTGGCCCCCATTGTTTTACTGTTCACACAAACCGCAACTGAGCCATACAGTCCAGAAGTGGGAACCTTGTTCCTTATTCTGTGTTGTGTTAACTCCTCTTGGTTGGCTCTGATAGAAATCCAGCTAGCTTTCTTGATTCCGATTGCTATCCCATAATATATTGGCGAAACTATTGTTATGTTCTCCCCCAAGCTTACTATCGCACTGTATTTTCCCTTTCTTAATCAATCCCTTTGTACTCCTTTACTGAATTCTAAATTGCTCCCACTCTCTGGCCTGTTGTTTTTTTATGGCCATTTTATATGCCTCTTCCTTGGATCTAATACCATCTCTAATTTCCTTCGTAAGTCATGGTTCAACTACCTTTCCCATTTTGCTTTTTCGACAGATAGAAATATACAGTTATTGCAGTCCACTCATGTACCCCATGAATGTTTGTCATTACCTTTCCATCGTCATTTCTTGAAACAGCATTCCCAATCTATCCTGGTCAACTCCTGACTCATGCCATCGTAATTTCCTCTATTTCGATTCAAGAACTTAGTTTCTGAATCATTCTTCCATCTTGATGAGAAATTCTATCATATTATGGTCGCCCACCCCCAACACACCTCACACAACTAGATTGCCAATTATTCTTTTCTCATTACACAGTACCCAGTCTAGGATGGCCTGTTTTTGAGTTGTTTCCTCAATGTATTGGTCCTGAAAATCATCCTGTATACACTGCAGGAATTCCTCCTCTGTGGTATTGTTGCTGATTTGAATTGCCCAACCTGTGGGCAAATTAAAGTCTTCCATAATTGTTCCTTCACTACCTGCATCTCTTACTACCTGTTTATTATCATTACGTCTGTAGTTTGTGGGCCTGTATACAACTAATATTTTTCTTTCCCCGTTGGTGTTTCTCAGCTCTACCAGTGCAGATTCCACAGCATTGGAGCGGGTATCACAGACACATAGAATCCCTACAGTGTGGAAGCAGGGCATTCAGCCCATCGAGTCCACACCACCCCTCTATTGTCATTGTTTTGTGCATTAAGGCACAAAGCCTTAAGGCTATTCTTTATTATGATTATTTGTCCCATTTCTGTTACTTTTCACTGTGGCCCTGTTTGATCCTGGCCCTTGATTTCTCTGCCAATCATTTTTTTTAAATTTCACTTTATCTTTTGTTCTTGTCTTTGATTCCCCTTCCTTTGATTCCTTGCACAGGGTCCCATCACTCTGCCATTTTAAAGCATCCCAATACACTGTAGCAAATAGTCCCCCAAGGACATTAGTCCTGGTCCTGCTTGGGTGTAACTTGTCCAATTCGTACTGGCCCCATTCCCCTAGAACTGGTCCAAATGCTCCAGGAATCTGAAACCCTTCTCCTTGTGTCACCTCTTCAACTATGTGTGCATCTGATATATCCTTCTATTTCTGTTCTGACTAGCATATGGCCTGGGAGTAATCCTGAGGTCAGTACCTTCAAGGTACTACTTTTCAACCTACAGCTGATTCTGATATAACGCGATAGTTCCGTTCTCGTGCGACCTTGCGTTTATAAGAAAATCGCACAATAACTGTGACATTTAAAGTGATGGGGAGGAAATTACATTTTAGCCATTACAGGTAGGGAAAGCTGACATTCTGCAAATAGTTCTATAATCCTTCAGTCACGTTAAAACCAATTTGCTTTGAAGAAACTCGAGTTATATCAGAACCCAACTATACTTCCTAACTCTCTATAATCTGGTTCTAGGACTTCATCCCCTTTTGTTTTAAACCTAGGTCATTTGTGCCAATGTGTGCCATGACCACTGGCTGTTCATCCTCTCTCTGCGGTAAATATTGTAGCCACTCTAAGATATCCTTGACCCTACTACCAGGGAACCCATCTTTGGAGTCTTGTTTGTTGTCACAGCAAAGCCTGTCTATTCCCCTTACAATTGAATCCCCTATAATTATTACATTCCCACACTTTTAATACCTCCTATGTGCAGCAGAACCAACCATGGTGCAATGAATTTGTTGGTGCTTGCCCTTGAGACGTGATTTCCTCAGCAGAATCCAAAACATTATATCCATTTTGCAGGGAAGTAGTACAAGAGACTCCTCCACTGCCTGCCAGGTTCTCTTGCTTTGTCTTGTAGTTACACACTGTCTTCCTACCAATGGAGTCTTAGCCTGTAGTACACATGATATATGATGCTCTATAGCGTCCCCAGCTATCATTCCAGTTTCAAAACTGGGCTTCAAAAAGAACTGTAGCTAGAGACTTCCAGTGCCGTGGCCAGCACGTATGCAGGAACTATGCTGGACTTCTGTCAGAGCAGGAAGAGCACATCATGACTTGGAGCGCCCCACCATGACTTACCCCTTAAATTTAACCTTTTGAAGAAGCTTAATATCAAATCACATCAAATCATTTAGGGCCTTTACTCTAGGTCCTCCCTACTGTAGAATGCTATAAACTACAAAAAAACCCAAAAAGCACCTCTCCTGTGTCACATTCCCACTGTGCTCCACATTCCCTAAAACACACAGTCATTATTGCTGTGCCTCACTCAGGTTCTGCTTTCTCCTAACTGCTCATGTGAAGCTCACTCCTGTCAACTGACCCAAAGGAGGAGATATTAGATGGGTGTCCAGAAGTTTAGTACTCAGAGATAATTTTATATGGGAAGAAGATACGTGGAGCGGTAGAGGTGGAATTCAGGAATGTTCAGGTGAAGGAACTAGAAATATGTAGAGCAGAGTCTGAGGTTATACCTTTGGAGAAAATTAGAGAAAATGAGTGATGGAAACACAGTGATTGAGGGGCAAAGATGAGAAATTAGTTATGGAGATGAAAGTAAGTAGTCTTAATGATGGAGACTATACAGAGCTGATCCTTGTTTGGATGTTGAATATAAGCTGATGTTTCTATACAAGAACATAAGGGATAGGAGTAGACTATTCAGCCCCTCGAGCTTTACCTGCCCCTGAATAAAATCATGGCTGATCTAGCCCAGATGTCAGTCCTCGTAGCCCTCAACTTCCCTAAATTTAGAAATGTGTCAACCTTATTTTTAAATATTTTGATTTAACCTCTGCAGCGCTGTCAGGTAGGCAATTCCAGATAATCACTATCCTCTGGGAAAGGAAATTCTTCTGCTGTGCAGTTTTAAATGAGTATCCCTTTTTGTCCTTTAACTATGTTCTCTTTGTGATGCCACTATTGGTAGAAGCATCATCTTAACATTTATCCTGTCAAGAACCCTCAGAATTGAGCAGGTTTCAGTAGCTCAATGCTCATTCTTCTAAACTGTAAAGAATAAAGGCCTAACCTGATCTTGACATTCAACCACTTCAGCCCAGGAATCAGCCTAGTGAATCTCTTAAATGGCTAGGGAAGGCATTAGAGGCAGAATTATGTAATGATATGGAAGATTTCTTTCTTGTAATATGTTAATAGTGGGGCTAAAGCAACCTATGAAGTTTGATAAGGAGACTTTCCCTGTTGATAGCAATTGCATGCCTGTCTAGTGTGTTTGAAAATGCACTGTCTGTGCTATTGCAATACATCTTATTTAAGAGGCGTGGCATTAACTAAATAAATTATCACATCATCTGCATTCCCAAATAACAGACTTTATATTGACTTTGCTCTTAGTTGAATAAGTCGTTGTTGGCCCCAGCAATGTTTTCTGTAAAAATATATGTTCTGTATTACAATGATCATACTTGTCTGCTGTTTTATTACTTTAGGGACAGGCTCAGGAGTGTCTATTGGAAAAATCTATGCTGGACAACAGAAAAAGTTTTTTAGTAGCAAGAATCAGTGCCCAGGTGAGTGTATGTAACATTGTGCATTTCATAATCTGTAGTTTGTTAAGACTGTGTTTGTATTTCCCGAAAAATTTTAAATGAGGAAAGTTGCAAATTTCTGCCTTATTCGAAGAGTTCAGGGAACACAAAACCATGAATAAAAAGGATTTTAGAAACAAAAATTTCACTCTTCTTGTGTCCAAATTTGCTCACCTGAATCCTAAATTTCTTTCTCATCCCAACCAAAAATCTCTACTTTAAATCTTTGTATATCTAGCTCTCAATCTTTTTTGACCATATTTATTTTTTAAAGATTGATTACCTTAGAAATTAAGATCTTCCATTAATCTGTGCTGCATCTCTGTGGGAATAGATCAAAGAAATCTTTTAATCTGGTTTCAAAGGGAGCTGACTTTGACTCTTAAGGCAAATTGTCATCTCTTTCCATCTTTTAATCTGCAGTCTTTCTTCTAACTATTGTAAATTGCCTCTAGCACCTTTTCATTTGAAATGTTTTACTTTTATAATTGAACTATGAAATAAGCTGCCTGCTTCTACCTTTTGATCACCATATCATGTTATTTTGGTCTTCAGTCAAAATGAATTCAGTAGATTGATTCCTTGTAATAGAGAGCTGCAGCTGTTGGTGTCACCCTTTTCTGAACTTCAATCATTTATATGGAAACATGACCAAAACTGTACACGTGACCAAAATGTTGGATATTATATTTTGTCTGACTGTTGCAGTCTAGATAAATAGAACTCCAATTAATCTTACTAACATCATTCTTCATAATGCCCTGATAATATGAGAAGCATGTAACTTTTTATTGTAGTTTTGAGAAGATGTTTAGTAAAGATGTCAAGAGAACTGCCCTTTACTCTTCTCCCATATTGAATTTTTTTGCCAGTTTTTCTGCACAACATCCTTTTGTGATTAAGTTGAAGACTGCTTCTAGCACCTTTTCATGCAGACTTAAGGCAGGGAAAATGACGTCCCTGGTCGCATTTGCTCCTGGTTTGTTTTTGGTTTTATTGTTCTGGAAATTTCATTAGGTTGAAATTTGATGAGTCAGAGAAAAAATGCATATTGATAAAATGATGATTGGAAGAGACTTTTTTTTTATAGTTTGCCTTGTTGCCAGGTGGTTGATTATTATAAGGAAGCTTGTCGTGCCCTGGAAAACTCAGAGACTGCTTCACTTATTGGGAAATTTCAGAAAGACTGGAAGAAGCTGGTGCAGATGAAGATTTATTACTATGCTGCAGTCGCACATGTAAGTAGCATCATGTGGAAAGTATAAAACTTTGAATTTTGATCTGGTGTTCTCCAACAGCACACTTTCCTTCTGACCATTCCTCGAAGTTTTCTCCTTTTGTTTCTCTGTAAGACTTGCTTCATGTTTGTAGATGACTATCACTCTGCACTTTGCATAAGTACCATTTCTTGAAGAATAAGCCTGGGCATGAATATTGTTGAACTATTCTATCATGAAGGACATCTTGTTCAAGCCCAGCTTTTGAATGTACGTATCGGAAACTTTTCAGTCTATGTGCACTGTTAGTGCTTTAACCACAAGGCAATTGGTTGACCTCAAAAAAAACATTAATTTGACTGAATATCATCAAATTTCTATAAAATGTCTAATAAGCAACTTGTGTTCCTATATTACAGTTGCTATTTTATTGAAACTGCTATAATTTTATTCTTGGCAGGGATACAAAGTGTACATTAGGTGTTATGGCAAGTTGCTTGGTTATCTTCACTGAATTCAGCCTGAACTTAATTTGTTGCAAATTAATCTTTCTGATGACTATCAGGTTTCTTAACGCAATTAGTTTTGTGCAATTTCACTCCAACTATAAAATGGCTTTCGTTCAGAACTCAAAACTGCCTTTAAGTCAATACAGTTCATCCAATATTGCTTCAATTTTGCAAGAATGACTGATTTAGCTAGGAAAAAGTATCCATCCTGATGGATTATACGAGCCATAAATCCTGACCTAAATAAGAATGAAAGGATGTTGAGATGGTTGGGAATTTAATTGGCCTCTTGGTTAGTAACTGTCCAGGAGGGTAATCCCAAGACAAATTAGCCAGACTTGCTTATGGCAAATTGTAAGTAGTTTAGACTGGAATAGGGTTGCTGCCTTCAGCACAGAGGTCCCTGATTCACTGAAGTGTAGGAGCAACAAGCTCGGAGAGCCCTGGATGGATGTCTGTGGATATTCAGGGCTGGATAGAAAGGAAACGCAGCTACAAGCTAGCAAATCAGTGGAGATGTCAGTGGCGTATGGTGCAGGTGAAATTTAAGAAAGCAATTTGGAGAGCAGAGAGGGGACATGAAAAATGACTGACGAGCAAGATTAGGGGGAATCCCAAGATATTCTACTGGTAGAATACCAGGGACAGAGTAAGATCTATTAGGGACCAAAAGGAAAATCTTGAGTGTGAAACCGGAGGATATTGAGAATGTTTCAAAGAGTGTTAAACATCTGCCTTCGTTCACGAGAAGGAGGATGAACTTATGGAATTCAGGAAAGTGAACTGTGGGCAGTTTGATATAGAGAATAGAACATAAGAACTAGGAGCAGGAGTAGGCCGTCTGGCCCTTCGAGCCTGCTCCGCCATTCAATAAGATCATGGCTGATCCTTTCGTGGACTCAGATCCACTTACCCGCGTTCTCACCATATCCCTTAATTCCTTTATTGTTCAAAAAAAACTGCCTTTTTTTTAAAAGCATTTACTGAAGTAGTGTCAACTACTTCACTGGGCAAGGAATTCCATAGATTAACCACCCTCTGGGTGAAGAAATTCCTTCTCAGTTCAGTCCTAAATCTGCTCCCTCTAATCTTGAGGCTATGCCCTCTTGTCCTAGCTTCACCTGCCAGTGGAAACATCCTCTCTACTTCTATCTTATCTATTCCCTTCATAATTTTATATGTTTCTATAAGATCCCCCCTCAATCTTCTGAATTCCAATGAATATAATCCCAATCTACTCAGTCTCTCCTCATAAGCCAACCCCCTCAACTCCGGAATCAACCTAGTGAACCTCCTTTGCACCCCCTCCAGTGCTAGTACATCCTTTCTCAAGTAAGGAGCCGAAAACTGCACACAGTACTCCAGGTGTGGCCTCACCAGCACCTTGTACAGCTGCAACATAACCTCTCTGCTTTTTATTTCAATCCCTTTAGCAATGAAGGACAAAATTCCATTTGCCTTCTTAATTACTTGTTGTATCTGCAGACCTACCTTCTGTGATTCATGCACAAGGACACCCAGGTCCCTCTGCATAGCAGCATGCTGCCACTTTTTACCATTCAAGTAATAATCCTTTTTACTATTACTCCTACCAAAATGTATGACTTCACATTTATTTACATTGTATTCCATCTGCCAGACCTTTGCCCACTCACTCAATGTATCTATGTTCCTCTGCAAAGTTTCACAGTCCTCTGCACACTTTGCTTTGCCACTCATCTTAGTGTCATCTGCAAACTTTGATACCCCACACGTGGTCCCCAACTCCAAATCATCTATATAAATTGTAAATAATTGCGGTCCCAACACCGATCCCTGAGGCACACCACTAGTCACTGACTGCCAGCTAGAATAGCACTCATTTATCCCCACTCTTTGCTTCCTGTTAGTCAACCAATCCTCTATCCATGCTAATACTTTACCCTTAATGCCCTACAACCTTATCTTATGCAGTAGCCTCTTGTGCGACACCTTGTCAAAGGCCTTTTGGAAGTCTAGGTACACCACATCCACTGGGTTCCCATTGCCCACCTCGCTCGTAATGTCTTCATAGAATTCCAAAAGATTTGTCAAGCATGACCTGCCCTTCATGAACCCATGCTGCGTCTGCCCAACGGGACAATTTCTGTCAAGATGCCTTGCTATTTCTTCCTTGGTAATAGACTCGAGCATCTTCCCCACTACAGAGGTTAAGCTAACCGGTCTGTAATTCCCCATCTTTTGTCTACTTCGCTTTTTAAACAGTGGCGTCACATTTGCTGTTTTCCAATCTGCTGGGACTGCCCCAGAGTCCAGCGAATTTTGGAAAATTACTGCCAGTGCACCTGCTATTTCTCCCGCCATCTCTTTTAGTACCCTGGGATGCATTCCATCAGGGCCAAGAGACTTATCAATCAACAGAATGAGGAGGTATTGGAGGTTTTGGCTGGTGTAAAAGTGAGCACACCCCCAGGTCTGGAAGAGTTAAATCCCAGGCTGCTGTGGGAGACAAAGGAGGAAATCATGGGGACCCTGACCCAAATTTTGAATTCTTCTCTGGATCAGGAGAGGTGCCAGAGGACTGGAGAATGGCTAATGTGGTTCTCTTTTTCAATAAGGGTGGTCAAGATAAATGAGAAAGTTACAGAGCAGAGAGTCTCACATCAGTGGTAGGGAAACTATTGAAGAAAATTCTGAAGAACAGAATTAATCTCCATTTAGAGAGGCAAGGTTTGAACAGGGATAGTCAGCATGGCTTTGTCAGAGGAGGTCATGTTTGAAAAGTTTGATTGATTTGAATTCTTCAAGGAGGTGACCAAGTGTCTAGAGTGCGGTTGATGTTGTTTATTTGGATTTCATCAAAACCTTTAATAAGGTCCCACATGGGAGACTGATAAAGCAACTTTTCAAGTTGGAACTAAAATTGGCTTAGTGGTGGAAGACGAAGGGTGATGGTAGATGTCACCCTTTTTTAAAATAAGACGGTATATTGGCAGTTTTCTGATCCTCTGGATTCTTGGAAAATTGATGCTGGTGCACCCGCTATCTCTCTAACTACTTTTAGGATGCATCTCATCAAATTTAGGTGCTGTAAGTCTTTTTGCCTTCTCAACCCCATTGCAAAAGGGGAAAATAAATCTGTAGCTTTGATGCTAAAGAAATGAGAAAGCTTTTATTAGTGGGTTATAGGGGGATGGGTCTGGGTGGGATGCTCTGAGTTCAGTGTGGACTTGTTGGACCAAAGGGCCTGTTTCCACACTGTAGGGATTCCGTGAAATCTATTTATCTGTAAAAACAATGCCTATAGAAATGGCTGAGATTGAGGTACAAGAGCTATCTAGAGACCTGGCTTATTAAGTACCTTTTAAAAATGATGGTGTCTCCTAAATCCTGGCAATAAGTGTGTACATATTAAGTAAAGCCAGATAAAACTTCACTCTGCCCCCTCTCGCTCCTATGACCAAATAGGCTGCCGGAACTTAAGTTTAGAAAATATGAAGATCAGACAACTAGATGAGGGACAACTTCTGCTACCAACAGGATGTGAAGAAGTTGTTATGGGGCAGAGACGTTAAGGGCAAGATGATTTCAGGAAAGGAAGGATGCAAGAATATAGTTTGGAATTAAGAAAAAAGTCCTGAAAAGAAAGGTACACTAGATTCTTTTAAGTGATATATACTGAACATAAAACTGACACATTTCTGCTTATTCGGTCAAGTTCCTAACTTTGGATTAAAGGGTACTGAGCTTAATTCTCAATGAGGCTTACACATCCTAAAGGGCTCAAATGAGCATCCTACCTCAAGAAAAAGGGGTTTCCCTATTTAATATTGCTTGGCTGTTTGTCAATGCACGGATCATTTTTGTGCTTGGGAATGCAGAATGAAGATCAACCTGCATTTAGATGAAGTCTATCTGATAGAACTAATTATGAAGAATATTATGTCTTATTAACAGTTCTAATGTAAACAAGCTTACTGCTCAAGCTGGCGTGTTCTTATTTAGAATGGCGAGAGCAGGAGTATATCATTGACATAAGTGATCATTTATTATCCTGTTAAGTGGCAGAGTAGACTCAATAGGTCAGTACATGTTCCTATTTTCAGTTTTTCTGTATTTTACCCCAGAAAGTGGTGGGGTTTACATCATGGCTGTCAGATGGTAAAGACTTAAGGTGCAATAATAATTACCAGTAAATAAACATATTCTGAACAGTAAACAAAAATGGAAAGAACTGCAGATGCTGGAAATCCAAAACAAAAACAGAAATTTCTGGAAAAGCTCAGCAGGACTGGCAGCATATGTGGCAAGAAATCAGAGTTAATGTTTTGGGCCCAGTGACCTTGCTTCAGAACTTGATATTTTAAACAGTGTCAGGTGGTCAAAAATTTGTGAACTTCTCACTGGAAAAGCCAGACATTATAGTTCTGAACTCTGTGTACCTGGCTATTCAGACCCTCCATTAATTTTCAAAGTGTGACAACAGTCATATTTTTTATATCTGCTTTCCAAATTTTATGTGACAAATTACATGATTTTGCCTAACCTTATGCCATTCCGTATGAAATAAATCTTGATAAACTGCTTCTTTATCAATATCTTCCTCAGTTTACCAAGTTTTTTTATCCATCGGCTGCTGTAATTGCTACAGTTACTTCTCAGGCAGCTACTTCTTCAAGACTGCTTCTAATCAGTGAACAAAGCGTTCTTTCCTGTCTATTTCGATGTTTGTGATCATTTCATAACAATCTTTTTCTACAGAAGTTATCAACTAATTTAGAATCTTTGTGTTCAATGGAGTATTTTTTAATTAGATTTGTTGTCTAAACTGACCAGTCCTTTAATTGTCAGTGTTATATCAGCAACTCGGTGGTCATTTCATCCAGATCGAATATACATATTAATTAAAAATGCAATACAAATCGGTTTTAAATGGATGGCTTTTAAAACAATGTTTGATTTGAAGACTTATTTTGAGCTTGAGATTAATTTTTAATTTGTCATTCTGGTTTATTTTATCAGCTCGTCTACTGCTGAAATCTGTATCCAAGCCTTTGTTGTCTTTGATTTGACCATTCCAATGCTTTCTTGGCCACTGAAGTGTTACCACTGTTATGATGTGAGAAACATGGAAGCCATTTACACACAATGAGTTCATAAACTGTGCAGGACACTGGGGGGGACTCCTCTGCTCTTCTGAAATGTCCCCGTATCTTTTATTTCCAACTGAGAGGGCAGTTGAGGTATATTGCAACCAAAAGACAGCATTTTCCTTTATTTAGTAGTAACTTATTACTGTACTGAAGTATCAGCCTGGATTTTGACATCTTGCCTTTAATGTTTCTGAGGCATGAGTGATGCCTATTGTGTCATTTATGTGGGCAGTTTATCGTGAAATATACACTGATTTATATAATCAGTCTTTTAGGTTCAGTTCTAAGGTGTTACAGGCAGACCCCGGGTTGCAAATGGGTTCCGTTCTGGAGTCCATTTGCTAATCGATTTTTATCAGGTCAGAACACAATTAAAGACAATGTAAAGGAACCGTTCATAAGTACAGGAGAATGTTGTATATCGAATCATTAAAATTGCACTCCAGTCTGAGATTATATTCATGCGTGCAAGCGTTTGAAATTTGGACATTTGTAAATTGGGAAGGTGCATTTCTCTTACTTGTTAAATTTCTCTGTCCGATGTGGCCCTAGTTAATCTGTATGTTTTTATTTACTTCCAAAGTCATGGAATTTACCTCTTACATGTGAAGTACCTAATATAGTAAAACTAGTGACAAGACTGACTCATTGCAGTAAGTTATATGTTGGACAAGTTAAGGTTTCCTTTTGACAAAAACTATGCACTTCAGCTGTGAAGCTGATTGAAAAATACCCAAGCAAGAAGGAGGCATCAGGTTAAGTAATTAGTAGGATATTTTTATCGGTCACAGCAGTTCTGACAATCATTCTCTCTTTATAGTAGCTGGAGTTTTCCATTTCCTCCTGCCAATCTTAAGACTTTTTTTGTACTTTTATTCCAGCTTCATATGGGTAAGCAATCAGAAGAACAACAGAAGTATGGAGAAAGAGTGAGTAGGAAATATTTTTCACTGTTGATATGACCTTTGAGAGTGTGAACTGAATCTGCAGTTGAATTTAAATTCATGTATTTGTCCACCTGTTTAGATGTAGTGTGATCTTAAAATTGTGGATTTTGTTTTCTCACTGTAGCTTGCTTACTTCCAAAGCTCATTGGACAAGTTGAATGAAGCAGTGAAATATGCAAAGGTGAGCTTTGAGTCATTTTTTTTGGCAGATAAATTTTTGAGTATAAAATGTTGCAATTGCATAATGTTGAAAAAATATTTGAAACTAATTATTCAAGTATGTTACGCAGTCACAGAAGTCTACAGCGTAGAAAAATGTCTTTCACCCATCAAGTTGGTGCTGGTCAAAACAGGAAACTAACTATTTTGATATAATTTTCCTGCAATTAGCCCATAACCTTATGTGTCTATACATCAGAAGTACACATCTAAGTGCTACTTAAATGTTATGAGGGTTTCTGCCTCTACCAGCCTTACAGGCAATGTGTTCCAGATTCTCACCATCCTCTGGATGAAAAAGTTTTTCCTCTCATCTCCACTGAACCTTCTGTCCTTTGCCTTAAAGCTATGTCCTTGGTCAATGATCCAGCCATTTGAGGGGAAGCATTTGTTCCTGTCTACCCTATCTATGCCCCTCATAATTTTATACATTTCAATCACGTCCTATCTCAGTCTCCTCTGATCTAAGGAAAACAATCGCAGTGTGTTCAAGCTCTCCAGCTCGAGCAACATCCTGGTAAATCTCCTCTGCACCCTCTAGTGCTGTCACACCCCTCGTATAATGTAGATTTCAGAACTGCACGCAGTACTCTAGCTTTGGCCTAACCAGTGTTTTATACAGTTACCGTACAGTATAGCCTCCCTTTTTGTTTTTATCCAATCTGTATATCCCTCTTCACTTTTCCAGCTATCTCTGTATGATGAAGGATCTAAGATCTGTTGCTTTCCATTTCTTCATCAAAGTCATTAATATAGATTTTAAAAAGCTGAGACGCCAGCATTGATGCTTGTGGTGTGTCATTAGTTACAATCTGTCAACTTGAAAATGCCCCATTTACACCCACTTTTTGTTCCCTATCATTAACAGTCCTCTTCTCAGGATACTTTAATACCTGGCTTCACAAGCCCTTCATTACTGCTTATTAATCTTTTGTGTAGCACCTTATTGAATGCCTTTTGTAAATCCAGATATATTACATCAAGTGGTTCCCAAATATGTACCATATGAGCTTTCCTCAAAAAAAAATCTCTAAATACGTCAACAGCACAGAAGATGGGAGGGGAAGACATTGCCAACTCTGTTAGCAATGTATGAAATATCCTGTGCAAAAGCAAACTGTAGACTCATTTTGTGTTTTAGGGCCAACCTGAGACTGTTCAAGAAGCTCTACGATTTACTATGGATGTAATTGGAGGAAAGTAAGTAATTTAAAGAGATTTACAATCATAGAATGGTTACAGTGTTGAAAGAGGCCATTCAATCTCAACAAGGGCAATGCATCCACTCCCACTCTGGTGCCTTTTCTGTGTAGCTTCGTGTGTCTCCACAAAGGCTATTTCTGAGCCCACTTCATCTCATCTCAACACTGCATCCTTCTATTCCTGTCTCACTAGTGCTTAACTTCCCCTTAAAAGCATCCGTGTTAGTTGTCTTACACATTGCACGTGGTATCGAGATATCCATTTTCATCGTTTTGAGTAACTAGCATCCAGCATTCAGCTACGTTGTCTGATCGTGTGAGACAGCCACTTCCAAAACCATGACTCAATGCAGGGAAATGAGTTGGCATACCAGTCAATGTGTGCTGATCCTCAGAGCAGCTGCGCAGCTGTACCTAAAGGAAATGTTGGCGTTCTAGACTCCTAGGTTAGTAGTAAAACAATTATAGTTCTCTCAATTGTAACACCACAACTTACCTTACTTCCAATATCAGAAGTACTCATTTTTGTCTGACATTACCATTTTACATATTAGTCATTCACATGCCTTCTGAGGGTGCATGTTAGTTTAATGTCACTAACTGCCAAGTTGAGGCATTTTTTGTGTGCTCTGCAACTGGCATTGAAATCCAGGTCGCAAATCTGACAAAATAGTATTCTAATTGAATGCATGTACCACCCCTTTCCCTTATTTTATAATTTGAATTATTATTTGAACAACTTTTTATGCTACTTGCCTTTTTAAATGTTACAATAGTGCACAATTCCAGTCTGAGAGTACAATAATCAAGCACCTTTTATGACATCTAACACATTTTAATTGATTTTAGAATGAAAGAAGAAGCACCCCAAGGTGAAAATATTCTGCTTTTAATGTACTCTCCTTTTAATGAGTATCATCTAATGGAAGGCTAATGGAAGGCTGAAGAACATAAGTAGGAGCTTAGAAATGCAACATGTCACACACTGCTTTCCTTTTTAGCATTCTTTGATGTTACTGCTCTCTAAAAGGCATAGATTCCTTTTCCCAATGTCTCTATCGTTGCCTTGTCAGTAAGTCCTTACCTGTGTTGTGCATCTTCTGACTCCATAGGAGCAGTGCAAGGAGCCTAATCTCTGTTTACACTCAATGTAAGTCTCTATCGTCTATTTGCTGTTGCAGGGCATGCTGTAGTCTTCTCATCTGTTCCTTAGCACCTATTACTTCCCTTTATGAGAGAGAACTTGATTGGCTGCACCTAACACTGTTTCTGAGATCTCAAACTTAGGAGACAGGCAGTTCAAGTCTGTACCTCACTATGACTGACCACCACACAAATAGTTAAACTTGTAGGTGTTGCATTGCTCAGCAGTGCTCCAAAAGCATCACATCATGTGGTCTATCCTTCAACAAAGATGTTGTCTACTTCATAGGTCAAGGCATGTAATTTACTTTGAAGACGTTTTTGGTTTTCAGGTTTCTTTTTCATTTTCACTAACTTATTTATCATGTGATGTTGTCATCTAATAATATTCTCTATTTGTGTTGACGCATCGTAGAATCCCTAGTGTGGAAGCCGGCCATTCAGCCCATTGAGACTATGTCAAAACAAATGGTTCCTCCTTTTTTGAGCTGAAATTTGTAATACTGTTCTCAGAGATAATGCAGCCATCTGAGACCTTTGGAAGAAGTATTACAGAAATGTTTTTGTTTGGGAGTCAACTGTATTGCCAAAATAATCAAAGCATTCCTTCAACTT